CTATTATCCTCTTGCTTAACACGTTTTATTTCAAGAAGTGACATCTACCTGCATGTACTCCTGAAATACATCAGGAGGGTAAAGCGCATATCGTTCATATTCTGATGGATAAAACGCTACATCCATACATATGTGAGGTGCCTTTGGAATGTGACCGGAGAGATATAGTTGCCTTGACCTGAAAATATCTTGAAGTTATGATTCTGGTGAAATCTTCAAGTACACGACAGTCGGCAAGTTGACCAGTTCCTTTTTGGTAAGTATCAGGCGTTTTAACAGCATATAAAATTGTAGTGATTCTGACTTAATGACCTTTTGAAGGACTTGCGAGATCCAGTCGATGTAAAAGTCACCGCCAGAGTCTGGGTGCTTAAGGAGGGCGTTCAGTATTCGCGATGACGCGCGTCGACGCGCTGTAACGGGCATCAACGCGCTGCGGTTGCAAGAGCGCTCCAATCCTATAGAAGGTAACGCAGCCACAGTCGAGAATCGATCGGCTCTGGCAACTGGGTAGGCGTCAATCAATTCGCGTCTGCGACTACGTTTGCATCTGTAGTCTTGGAGCGCTGTTACAATTGGAGCAATTACAGCGCGTCGACGCGCGTCGTCGCGAGCTCTGAACGCTGCTGAGAGAAAGCTTGTTTGGCCTAGCGTTAGCCCAGCTCACCCTAAGCGGTGCCACATGTACAATTTCTGCTGTTATGTATTTGTTATTTTACCCTTACTTGGAACCATGGATTGCAATTGGGGCCAAAGAACGCTTTGTGACAGACAACCTCTGTATCACAATTTTATATTCCCAAATTATACCGGTGCCAAATAGCGTGCTCGGTGAAGGGTGGAGAGCTCATGACATTTGGCTGGATCACGACATTTGAGGTGAGAACCCAAACTTTCAACCTCACTACTATGTCATCTTTGTGCCTGGTGCTCCCTTAAAAATTCGCCTAGAATGCCAGCAATCTGAAGAACCCCAGCAAATGAGGAGTTGTATGCCATGATGATGACTCATGCCATTTTTTCTTCGTGAACGCTCCAGAAAAGCATGCACAAAATCAATGCCCCTATCAAATAACATTAATATCGCAATGGGTCAATCGGAATTACTAGAAAAAAAAGGTTGACAACAGTTATCAGTGTAGATGAATGTATGAAGTGAATGAATTTACTCCACTCACGGACAAGGCTGGGCTAGAATTCTTTCAAAATTCCCATAAAGTTCTTTTTGAAAATGCTTCCAATCAGGTTTTTTAGCAATGAGAGAGTGTTCGTAGGTGCAGTCTAATATCCTCACTCCTTCCTTGTTGATGATGTTATTCTTCAGCAGCTGAGCCAACGTGTTCACGTCGATCAGTCGCTTCAGCGACATCCTAAAGCAAATGAAAATTTACTTCTTGGATGCGGTAATCGCCAAATTCATATCGTAAAATGAGAGGAAACGCTTACGAGAACTTTACTGACCGAACACTCAATGATGCTATTCCTAAGGGCC